GGGGCGATAAGACGATAAGGATGATTATTGCTTTCGTAGCGACACCGAAGTGGGCGTAATTGCGCGGGTGTGGGAGTGATTTCACCGCGACATACTTTCTTGTAGGTTTCAAATTCCTCAGTTTGCTGTGAGTGAGGAGATGGCAACGATGTAAAGTGAAAAATACCGCATGTATGTATGTATGTACGCAGATTAATGTTTTTTTTTTAAATTTATACACGGCCATTGACTTACATGGTAGAAAGAGGGATTTGTGGTCAGCGTTGGCTTTAGCTCAGCGATCGGACTAAGTATAGTGTTTTTTACATATGATGCAGTTTGCCGAGTGGGATCTAGCCTCAAGATATCGTCGGAGAGTTTCAGTGCTGTCTCCAAGTCACCTGATGAAAATAATTAAATAGATAAAAGGGATAAAAATTAAAAAGATATAAATAAAATAAAATAAATTTAAATAAAATAAAATAAATTTAAATAAAATAAAAAGTATAATTCGTCATCGTACATAAAAACAGAACGGAATATCAATAACAAAAACAATTATCCGATAATCGTATCTCAAGACCCAGATATACCTCCAGTGGCGAAAATATAAATACGGAATAGACTTGTTAGCATTCCTTGGCTATTTCCCCTTTTGGACTTACGTCCAAATTTCAAAATTTGTACGAAAATTAGGAAAATTTGACAAAGCTTCATCGCAATTTTGAGCTTTTTAATTACATTTGTTATGCTGAGTTTCCACTAGGCATTCAATTACAACATTTTTAATGACAATGTTGGGCATTAGAAAATATCCGTGCCGTTACATTCATAAAAATAGTCGTTATGCCTGTTTTCAAATGGCATTTTTTAAATGGCATACATTTGTTGTCATTATAATGTCTAGTGGAAGTTTGACATTAAAATGACAAAAAATTGGATGCATTTACAAAATGCCCTGTGGAAATGAATTGAATGACTATTTTTTTTACCGTAATAACAAATATATTTTTGAAGGCCCAAGATTGTCATTACAATTTTGCCATGTAAACTATGCTCACATTACAGGTTAAATTACAGACTTTTCTTCGATCAAATGAATTCACTAAAATCAAGTACGTTCACATTTTCTTTTACAATTTCTATAGGAATGTGTACGTACGATTATGTGGTTTGCACTTGATTTAAAACATAAAACAAAAAAAAAATGGTTGCATACCTTTGCGCATTTTTTTTTAATTTTCCTCAACAGTGTGGGCTAAAATAAATGAAAATCTTTTTTTCTTCATGTGGTTCTTGATTTGTGATAAATCATTTCTTTTCTATTTAATTTTAGCCGTAAATTAGCCAAAACTTACTAAAATGTCTCTTCCCTATTTATATGTTCGCCACGGTACATATGCATATCGTCGCTTAAAGTACAAAACCGCGTATCGTCGTTCTGCAAAACCACGTAACTAACATTCTTTGCCAAAAATTGGATTTGCTCACACAAGCTCTTGGCTCAATCCTTATCCATTCGTCCAGAAATATACTAGCCAGCAATGCGACTGCTTTATAAAAAAGAGAATCATTTTGAAATATGAGTTATTTTACTCTCCAGAAAATAATTTATGCAAGCTCACATACGCTGTTTTGCGTTATCTTGTTAAGTGGTTTTGCATTTTGTTGATACGCTGTTTTGTACTTTAAACGAAGATATACATACATGTAAGGATGGCAATGAAACATTATTTGTAATATCGTGTTTATATGTACAACTATTTACAGATAGGGCTTACCTAAACTGAGCAGATTCTTCGCCACATCCTCCACGTATTCGAATGTGTGTGGATCTTTGTAGTATGGTTCGCGATAAAGCCGTTGCATGGATTCTTTCAGCCACATTTTTGTGTGATTATACTCCTCTAAATGGAACAATTGTTTGCCTAACACAAAGCAATCTTGCCATGTCATGCTAGTTCTGCAAGAATGTAAAATTAAGATTAAACATAACTTAAACTTAAGTAAGACAGAAAAGGATAATGCTGTTTGCGATTTCTTAAGCAAACATTTCTCTGACCAGGGACTTCTGTCGAGAGCTTTCCATCAGTTAACTGACTTCAAATTAATATTAAATTTCATACCCAAATTTTTTCTAAAATATGTAATAAAAAATGTGAACATTTGTATGAAAATTTGCTGCTATTAATATTCGAAAGACGGAACCTGTGGCACCCTTGAGGTCATCTCTCCAGAAAGAGTGGGCAAATGAGCGCCTGTGGCAACTTGTGGCCCACACCTGGGGAGCAGTGTTGCCGCGAAACATTTTTAGTGGTAGCTAAATTCCAGCTAAAAAAGGGCTAACAAAGAGCTAAAAGTCGTCGTTGTGGCTAAAAATGGTAGCTAAATTTTTTTACCTACATCTTATATATAAAAATAGGTGCACGTTTTTGGTGTGACCTCATAACTTGAGAACAGCTTCGCCGAATTCAACCAAATTTATGTGGCATATTCGATTTATCATGCACATGGTTTATGCGAAGTTTTCCCGATTTCGGAAGAGGGGGCGTGGCACCACCCGTACTAACTAAAATATAAAAATAAGTGAACGTTTTTGGTGTGACAATATAACTTAAGAACGGCTTCACCGAATTCAACCAAATTTATGCAGCATATTCGGGCTATCATGCAGATATTTTATGTGGAGTTTGCCCAAATTTGGAAAATGGGCGTGGCATATGTATGTATCTTATGTATACCAATAAGTACACGTTTTTGGTGTGTGCTTATAACTTGAGAACGGCTTCACCGAATTCAACCAAATTTATACGGCATATTCAGGCTATCATGCAGATGGTTTATGTGAAGTTTGCCCGAATTCGTAAAAGGGGGTGTGGCACCTTCCATACTAACTAAAATTTTTTTGTTGTATATCTCTTGAAATATTTGTGGAAGAGTACTGGAAGTTGGTATAGAGGTATAACAAATAATTCCATACTCATGGATAAAAATGGGCGGTATTGGAAAAGGGGTCGCGGCACCTCACATCTTATATATAAAGAATAAGTGCAAGATTTCAACCAAATTTATACGGCATAGTCGGGCTATTATGCAGATGGTTTGTGTTAAGTTTACCCGAATTCGGAAAAGGGGGCGTGGCACCACCCATACTAACAAAAATTTTCATCTGGTATATCTCTTGAAATATTTGTGGTAGATTACTGGAATTGGTAGCTATACGTGGCCTGTTCAAGAGTTGGCATTCCAAATTGTTTATTTATTCATACCCAAGATGGAAAAACCAAAAATGTTGTATATCCAAATGTGTTGGATTAAGATTTAAAATAAAGAATCAAAAATTTTGAAATAAAATAAATGATAAATTTTCATATAGAAAAATTCCAGGACTTTTCATTCGTTTTTTCAATATTTGGTGTAGACAAGCACACCGGGGTACTGCTAGTATAAATATGTAAGTATACACGCAAACATTTTCTATAATTACTGGTATAGAAAAACAATGAACTCTGAAAAGAATTAATATTTTATTCAACAAAAAAACTTTTTGTGTAACACATAAAGCATATTAAGGGCCGCCAACTTACCTATTTTAAAGTATAGTTAAATCGTTAACGGATAAGATAACGTAGACATATGTTTAAAAGGGGCTAGGGGCAATTTCAAATTTTTGTGGCCAAAAAAAGAATTTGGTAGCCAAATTTAGCCACCAAAGGACTAAAACGGCAACACTGCTGGGGAGATGGTCTTACAGTAGGTTCAGAGAGCCCAAAGTAGCAAAGTTCTTTTGGACGGTGGTTAACCGCGGGGCAGAGCGTAAATTTTCGATTCTGACATGTGTCGTCACCGGGAATCCATGCAGTGCGACTTAATATTATTACAGATCCCTATTTCCGCAGCTGTTGGGAGTACGACGAGGTGGAATCACCTCAGTATTTCGTACTCAGAGTTGGTTGGAATAAGGTTTAAAACCTTCGGAGTGTATTTCATCAACATTCCCGCGGAACTCTCTGGAGTAGACATCAGTCGCCTGCGGAAGTTTATTTTTGAGCACTCAGCGTTTTTCTTAAATTCACAGGGATTACTTTTTTATATTGCTCCTTCACGGGCAAATAATACGTTGGGCATTTTAAACTAGTGAATTTTTGTAGACAATCGGAGTCATCAAAAACATACTTACCCGTACTTAACACCATTTAAGAAACCTCCAGCTATTTGTTCTGTATCCAGATGATAGGTTTCCTGTAATCGGGCCAAAGCAGCTGCGGACGCCTTGAAGTCCTCTTCACTGGGAAAACTTAATGTTTCTCGGTACTCAGCCATTTGCCGCAGGAATGCTATACAATATTTGGTGCTTCACAGTCGTTTTTTTTTTGGAGGAGTTATAATATGTACTTCTACTCACTCTTTGCCGCCTCATCGGTTTGCACGCGCTCTTCATATATTGTCCAGTCGTTGGTTAGACGTTTCATTAGCCGATAGACATTCACAGGATTGGTTAAATAATTTTCAGTATTGCGTGATGCCTGCGCATATTCCATTTCAATGCGATGCAATTCACTAGAAGTGTTTTGAATAAACAAAATTTTAAACAAATTAACTTTTGGCTATACAGTCTATGTAAATGCTGTCAAGATATATGTACATTATTTTCTACAACATTAATTTAAAGAAATAAAAATTAATTACTAGTTGATGCCTAGCAAATTCTTTTTATGTTAAAATATTAAAAACACTCATAAATTGAATTAAATCTAAGTCTTAAATAACCTAGCAAAAGTGTACATGCATACAAAGATACGTAATAGTCTCAGTGCGTTTGAAAGGGGTCACGCCCCTTTACAAATAGCACCAATTTTTCTACATGACTATGCGATTGATTGCATATACCTACGGTGACCATCCGTTCTGTTTTTTGCAGGACCGTACTGTTTTTCAAAGGTCGGTCCTGCGTAGTTTTTCAAACCTGAAAAACCTGAAAATGTACTGATTTTTTCCAAGTGTCCTGCATTTGTCCCGCATTTTATCGTTATTCGTAGCTTTTTTCCATATCTCATGAAAAAATCTCCCAATAAACGTAAGCGACTTACAGCTCGAAGGGTATTGATGTGCGTCTTATCAAAATATACAACTTGTAGCGACTTCAATGAAAATTATTAGTGCTACAGGCGACCATCTGCATTTTGTCGTCAAAGTCGAAAAAAGTGAGATTTTCAATCAAATACGCAGTTTCATTTGATTATTTTTTTCATTATTTTAAAATTCGATAAAGAAGATATATCATTGCAGTCTGCACAAATTCAATATTTTTGTAAAGGGCACTTTGTAACTCGTCGTTTACGTCGATTCATGACGTCGATTTTTGACATATACCTACGAAAAGTACCAAAAAACAAAAAAAGAAGGGTATTGTTTTCGTTTTGAACGACTCAAAGTTTGCCTATAAAATAATCGAATTGTTTTTTTTTTGTTATTTTTATGGCCTTAGAACAATTATATTCAACAATTTTTATGAGCTTGAGGCCGTTTCTAGTGAAAACTTATTGTGGAAAAGCAACAATAATTGGAAAAAATGGTAGAAGTGATTGCTATTTCAGAAATCACCACCTTTCCTCATCAGACTTCTTTCAGTAGGATTCGAACCGACGATCACGATCACTAGAAACGGCCTCAAGCTCATAAAAATTATTGAATATAAAATAATCTTTTAAAGATTTTCAATTTTCGCTATTGCAATTATAATATGCTTTACTATACTTTTATAAATATTCACGTAAAAAAAGATTAATATCGATGAAGAAAACGTGATTAATTTTTAAAATTTAAAATGTAATAAGAATTTAGAATCATAAATACTCTTTCGATATTTTTATACTACGTAAATATATGTAAGCATATTTTTGAAAAATTGTCCTTCATTTTGAATCCATATTTATGGTCACCGTACATATACCTCCATACCATGTTGAAGTCTTCTACCATGAACACTTCCAGAGATATGCAGTAAGAGAAATTCGGTTTGTATGGGAGGTGCCACGCCCCCTGCACCTAACGGTATGAAATATCCTTTACATCCGATTCTCATACCTACCATATAAATACACACAAAAAATTTCATAAAGATCGGTCGAGCCGTTTAGGAGGAGTACGACCACTAACACCATGACACGAGATTTTTGTATATTAGATAGAAGATAAAGCTTCCAGCACAAGTAGTTATTTTGCGTTTTCTCTATCTGAACTTTTAAACTCTGCTAAGCAGTTTCGTTTGTGTTTTTGTTTTATTTCTGTTATTCTTATCATTGGCATAAACTTGGCTGTCTGTATTTCAACACGCTTACGACCGTTATTGTTTACGAGTGTTCATCTCTTACCTTGCGCCCTCCCCTCAGTTAACAAGCTAAGCTCAAAAGAAGGCTTATACAAACGCGCGCCGACGGCAAACCTATTAATAATTCAAATTTTGCTACTCAACGTACTAGCTACGCTCGTATGCCAGTTTTACGTCAGCGTTACCGGTTTTTTTAAATACTTAATTTAAAATTCAAACATTTTCATATACGTAATTTAAAACTTTTTCTTATTGTGCAGATGGTTAGTCGATCAATTGCTTGGTTATTATCATTGCAAATTTTTTTAACATGAGCGTGCAAAGAGAAGGTATTTGATGTGGGAGGTCTGTGTTTCAGAAATTTATTACAGTACTATTGAAGTTTGACATATGGGGCGGGTAAATTTTTCTTGACTATGCGAGCATAGCATTGGAGTAGTCTAAGCAAATTTGCCGAAGAAACCATGCTAAAATTAATTTTGAATTCCCCAAATTGCGAAAATAATAAAATATGGCTTATATTTTAACAAAAAAATATATCTAAGTTTCAAACTGTGTACGAAATTTAGAAGAACTATATCTACAAATTTTCAACAAAATTAATTATTTTTCTTCAAACAAAATTTCGAGTATGCAGTTTTATAGCCTCTTTAAATTTTGTTATTTTATTGTGCAAAGCTTAGCAGTCTTAGTTTCGCATTGATTTTTAGCATTTTTCCCCATTAAAGGATTTTCAGATTCTTTTATATGGAAAAAAATGCATATTGTCTTCAGCGAAAAATTTTCAAAAATCAGCGGGACCTTTAGACATTTAAAATTTGTATCAAACTGAAATTTTTTTGGAAAATATTATTAAAAAGTTAGCGATTTTTTTATAAAATCTGCAGAATTTTTATAAATTTCGTATGGTTTGAAACAAAATACGTTAATACGCTAACGAAATCCCATACAAATTTATGCCTCCCTACCGATTTGAATAATTGCTGCTATTTTTTGTTGTTTTTTCCATTTTTTCTAACAAAGAAATCGTGGTACAAAGCTCAATAATACTTTTCAAATAGATTGTTCTTTTGTTCGAAAGGTTTTTCTAAGGGGAGGTGCGCATTTTGTTTGTTTGTTGCCATTAATTTTTTCGGGATATAAACTTTCAGGTTCTCCGAATTACTGCAAATATGACCAATAATGAGTGGTTTTCTTTTTAATTTTCGTGTATGATAAAAAAAAACATATTCTGTAAACACGTACATTTGTTTGTAGTATGCATTTGAATCGCTCTTCTAGCGCCATTTAAAATATTTTTAATAGTTTCATTGTTGAAACTATTATCGATTCGCAAAGGTATTTGATATAATGTTAAGCAGTTGGAGTCATCCAAGAAACAGAATGAGGGCAAAACTAATATTGTCTCAATATGGCAAGCCTACTCACAGTGCTAACAAAGTGACACACTACAAAAAGCCAGAGATGATTTCCGTTTATGAGCAAAGAAACCTACCAAAATTCTACCAATGAGAAAAAAATCTACCAATTTTGGTAGGAAAAGCTCAAAACGGCAACACTGGTGACGATATGTATTTTGTTTCAAATTTAAGTACAAGAAAAAAAAAATGTAAGAAATGTTAAATAAGTTTTTTAAATTTGAATATGTAAGAAAATGTAAAAATTTTCATTGTTGCGCCCTCTGGCGGATGTTTGAAGAAAAAGATGAGTCCAGAAATGGATTTCTAATAACAAAAGGCCCCTTGCAGCATGTCTTAATAATAAAAACCAAGAATTTTTTACCAAACGACAGCAAAATTCTAAGGAAAAGAACATATTTTCGCAATTAGGCAAACTCAGAATTTATTTTATACCCAAGTTTTCTTCGGAAAATACTCCCATAGTCAAAAAAATCTTTCACACTAATTGACAGTCCTAATACACATACATTATTTATCGAATAAATGAAAGTACATAGTGCAAATTAGCAAATTAGGCTTCACAGTTTTGAAACGAAAAATGTTACCGGCGCTAAGAATATTTTTGTATTTTTGTTTTAATCCCATGAAAAGAAATGTTTGAAGTATGGATAGGGCTGCCAGATATCTCCGTTGGTAAACCGGTAAATGTAACACAACAACCGCCCCCGTTCCCTTTCCTTTTCTTTAGACAAAAATTACTTACGTACGAAAGTATGTAGTAAAATGTTATTTTGACCAGACAAAAACAAAACCATAAAAAGATGATATAATTTCAACGTACACCAACGAAACAAAACGGCTTATCACAACTAAAGTTCAAAATAAACATATATATATATATATACAATGCATGCATTGTTTTAATTTTTCATAAATATACCGTTTATACTACATAAAAAAAATATTTAAATAAAATTTCTAGACCTTGTGCAAAATTTGGGAAAATTCAATAACTTAGCATACAAATCGGCACATTTTAAGGTTGGACCGGGACACCGGGACAAATAGTCTAAGACCGGGGTATGTCCGGGAAAACCGGGACAAAATGCTTCGTTTGTCTTAGATATGTTTTTTTCTAATTACGATTTTAGGACTAATGTGTATTTTATTGTGTTTTCTCCAGACACAAAATTTCAAGCTCTATTTGATGTGGTCAATACAGTATTTGCAAATCTTAATTAACCACTTTCTAAAGCCAGGGATGAGATGTACATCACATGATGGTACATCACACTAAGTGATGGTACATCACATTTAGTTCAATATTTCCTTAAAAGAGTATTGATTACTAAAAAATGTATAGGTATGTACAATAGGGAGGTCCAAACATGCATGTGAAAAAGTGAAGTCAGAATTTTTTATGCTCTCACCCCCGACGATTGATCTATACCGAAAAAAATATACCCTTGAAATAAAAAAATATTTAGTGGTCGCTCAAAGCGCTCAAAGTTTTCCATGTATTTTATATGGGGGGAAAAACAACTTTTCGAGGAAATGGTTAGAATTCTTAAAAATCAATATTTGTCTGTTGAAAAACTCTGTTTATCTCCAAAGGATTCCCAGTAATAAAACCCAATTAATTATTTAACCATTTTTTCATCGCAACTATGATTTATAGGTCCGCCAAAAACCTACAAAATCGTTGGTGAATGGGCCTAGCTAAATTATCAATCTGCCCTTAACTGGACTGAGGTAAAGCAGTTAGCTCTTGTAATTCCTGCGCTACCCTCTTTCCAATCATTTCACGTCCATGGAGCAATACCTTGCAG